AGTCTTGAATTCCTAATCCTCTGGCCTCTATTTCCCAAGTACTGAGATTACAGGTATGTGCCACCAGGCCTGGCCATCATTTTTTTTTTTAAATAACAGTAATGATCACCAAGGGTCAGATAGTTTGTTTTGACTTAAGTGAGAAGTAAGCTGTCAATAAAAGCTTCATGTAACTTCCGGGAGCACTGGGCTCCTCTAGCCCTTCCCAGCAGCCCATGCTTGCCTCGAAGCCCTGACCTGGTTTGAACCTGCATAGCTACAACAACAACAATAAAGCTAAGGTTTTGCACATATATATATATATATATATGTGTGTGTGTGTGTGTGTGTGTATATACACACACACATATATACACATATATGTGTGTATATATATTTGCAAATTTATTTATACTAATTTAATTCTGGACAAGAGGTAAAAGAAGATCTAGGAAGAGTGCATCGCACTGGAAAGGCAAACGTGAGGGCAAAAGCAAAGCCTACTGAATCACTTCTGTTTTCTACCAAATACTCTCCTAACTTCCTGCCCACTTCTGGGACATTTAGAACAATACAGACACAAAATTCAACGTATTCAATGATTCCGGGCAGCATGTACATTTATGGAGTGAAAACCATCTAGATCCATCTCTTTATTTCATCCTGACTATCTTGGCATTGAAAATGAAACGAAAGGTCTCTTCAGTCAGATTGAGTACCTGTGCGCACAGGAAGACGCTAGGCTCCGAAGAGACACTCTGAGTTCTAGTGTCACTTGTGCTTTGCACTTCATTTGCAAGCATTTAATTTTTTGTTCTTAAATCCCCTTTGAACTCTAAAATTTTAAATGAAGTTCTACAATCTTGGGACCAGGCGTATATTAAAATCCATATGTGTTATGCTTTATACAAAGACAATATGATAATATGTTTTTCAAGTGATCTGGGGTAACACTTGATAATCAGTTTTTTTGTAGTGAGAAAAGCAAAAGTTACAAAAAACACCCAATCAGTTCAGGTCAGGTGATCTTACCAAATTAGTTTGTTTAGACACATAAAAAACTTTTGCTTTTCAGAGTTCTTTGGATTTTATAATTATATATAAGAGGTTGTAGGACAGGATCAGTGTAAGAGTTGTGGTAAATGATCAGCAGTCCTACAAAATACGGTATTCTAGCATTACTAATGGCTCTGGATTCATAAAACCGGCATGTGGCATGAAAACCTCTTTACAGGGGGAATCCTGGTACCACTGCTTGCAGACTTATAAGTGAGCAATAAGATTCATCAGCAAACACAGAGGCTCCATTGGTGAGCTTTGCACATGCTTTTGAGTGTGGAGACATATATGGACACTGAGGTGAAAGGCAAATACAGGCCCTAAGAAAGGTGGATCTAGTTACCATGGTCAAGTCTAGCAAGGAGGTACAGGAATCAGACACCAATCTTCTCAGGCTTATGTCTAAGGAGACATCGAAGTACAAGGGCATCAAAAGCCTATTCTGGGGCTGGAGAGATGGCTCAGCGGTTAAGTACACTGGTTGTTCTTGAGGAAGACCCGGGTTCGAATCCCAGCATCCACACGGCAGATGACAACTGTCCCTAACTCCAGTCCCAGGGGATCCAACAGCCTCTTCTGACCTCCGCAACATTGCACGACACGGGTGCACTTACCTACATGCAGGCAATACATGCCTGTGAGGTCAGGGCCAGCCTGGTCTACACAGTGAGCTCCAGGCCAACTGGGGCTACAGGAAGACCCTGTCTCAAAAAGACAAAGAAGAAAAGAAGGAAAGAAAAGAAAAGAAAAAACAAGAATAATGACAGAGTCAATGTGCCTCGAAAGAAGAATCAACTCAGAATGGAGCTTCTAAAACTCAGACTGCGCAGTAGAAACAGCAGGGCTTCTTTTAGACTTATTTTTGTTTTTGTTTATGTGTATATATTGGTGTGAATATATGTCATGTGAGTGCAGGTGCCTGTAGAGGCCAAAAGAAGACATCAGATCCTCTGGAGTTGGAGTTACAGGTGGTTGTGAGTCACCCAGTTCGGGTGCTGAGAACTGACTGTGGGTCGTCTGGAAGAGGAATAAGCTCTCTCAACCACTGAGCTCTCTCAAGACCCCAGACTGCTGTTTTGACACAGGACTAGTACTGCCTAGTGGTGGCATGCCCAAGTAATTCAATTTCTTTAGGGAATTTATTCTATCTTAGAAAGTAAATACATGTATAACAATTAGGCTCTTGAACCCTTACATTTACACATGATGCTTCTGAACTTTATATTTAACCTTTAATAAGTTCCTTGAATAATAAAAGCTGACATGTCTGAAGACAAAAGAAAATTCAAGGCTACCCCCTCCTCATTCCATGTTACTTCAAAACGGCTCTCCATTTTGACCATCTCAGAAAAGCAAAAATGAGACCTGGAGAGACAGCAGTTAACGATTAGAGTGATGACCATTCAGGAATGATGGACCGAACTTTGGTCGGAACCGAAATTCTGAAGTTTAGCAGATGTCAGAGAATGTTAATACTTCCTCTGGAGACTGGAGGAGGGAGAAGGTTATGGGAACGGAGCCTGCTGAAGACATCATCAGAGAGCTAGAAATGGCCAGGGGAGCAGCAGTGAGGGTGTGTGCAGAGGAGAGGATATCTTTCTAAACCCTACAGTCTACACCTCACAGGTATTCTCTAGTTACATGGGTGCCACATACACTACATGGGAGCTTTAAATGACAGACAGCTTTGGCATGACTGGGGAGTCTTCCATGTATAATGTTTATGACATATGGAAGATAGACCGTGCTCATAGGAATGCTTTGACAGGGTATTCAGAGCTTTTTGGATTTTATAACTGTACACAAGGGATTGTGGGAACAGGACCAGCACAAGGATTGTGATAAAATGATCAGCATGCTGCTCTGTGATTCCTTAGCTTAGCTGATCAAAACTGTGTCCATAAAATATGACCTACGACCTTTGCCTGGAAGGTTTCAGGATTCACAGTGATCAATCTGCAGACTGGCCAGGCTGTAGACAGAAGACACACTCATGGGTGTGTGTGGCGGGGAGGGGGTGGTCCTCAGAGAGGAATTGCTCTTATTTGGGAATGAATGAACATTTCCAGCAATCTTATCTAACTGCACCACATTTCTGAGGCTGTCACCAACAAAAATGTGGAGTAAGAAAAAAAAAAAAAAAAGATGATCTTGTTTAAGAAGCATACTGCTTAAAAGAAGTCCATCTGGGCTAGGAATCTAGCTCAATGGTAGTATTTGGATAACGCGCTCATACAGCCCTGAATTCAATAAAGTCCACCTTCTATGGTAACAGGAAAATGGTAGCAGGAAAACCAGAGTCTTTCTTCTCCAGGTGACTTCACCTAAGACGGAGCTCTAACTGTTATATGACCCTTTTCTTTCTCAACCCACATTCTCTCTGCAAACAGCACAAAAGCACTGGGCATGTGGTTCACGTCAAGAGGAACTACTCTCCTGAAATGCTTAATAATGGAAAAGTGTGGCAGAGAATCTGAATGTCATGTTAATTTGTTGACAGGTGAAGGGTTCTGAGCCTTTCGATTGACAAGAAGGCAATGCTGTGTGAACACGTTAGCTTTAGTTTCTTCTAGCTAATTACCAGTGCTCTGTTCAGTGGCCAGCCGGATCTTAAGTTTCACTTACTGCTTGAGAAGGCATGTCATTGCTTACAAAGGACACAGAAGGGGAGGGCAGAAAATGTCATCTCATCCCTTCTGGCAAATAAAAAGTTAAAATCTTCAAGAATGTCAAGGTGGTCACTGAGTGAGCAGGGCTGCCTTTGCAGGTAAAGATGCACACATCTTTATTCATGTGTAAGAGGCAAGAATGCCATTTACCCAGGATGGGCAAGCAGTCAGCCAGTGCTGGTCATTTAGGGAATTCTCTTTATTTATAAATTTTTCTTTATATTATTATAGAGCTCTTCATGGCTCTCTACTTCTAAGAGACGAGGTTGAAGATGTGTGCCTAAATAAGTACCAGTAACACCAGCAATGCACTGGGAATAGACAGGAAATGAGTAGCCATTACTTCTTTTTCTTTTTTCCATCTTTGGTATTTCCTGCTCTTGAATCATCTGGTCCAGTTAGGTCAACAGTCTTGAACTTACTGAATGACTGCATCTCTTCTTTCCTTGAGGGTTTTGGATCAGGCCTTGGGGTTAGCATGCACATTTCACTTTACTTTCCCACAGACTTTCAGGAAACGCTAGCTGTCTGGACCATTTTTTCCTCTTTCACATACTGAGAAGTGCTAAACAGCTCCAAGATTCCTGTGTACACACCCTAGCATCTGTGGACCACATCTGCTTGAATAGTACTATGTTTAGGAGGATTCCTGATAATTTTCTATAAAGTATATGATTAGAATTGGAAATGTCTTTATTGGTTTGATTTGTAAACTGGGTGACATGGGTACAAAATACTACCATGGCAGATCAGAGCTGATGTAGTTTACCAAGAATATTCCCTTTCAAGAAAATTTCAGATTGTTATATTTTAGGCTCTAGGAATGTGATAGTCATAACATCATTAGAGCCATTTAGAAAAGCTGGGTGGAAAAGCACCTATTCAAGGGCGTCTTGGTTCATTTCCTCAAGATGAACTGCATACACCGAGATGAATTAATGGGTACAGAGAGGGATGAACAGAAACACAGATTCATAGAGACTAATAAGTTCAAAACAGAAAAAAGTAAGGACAGCTTTTAATGTCTGGACTCCTGTGCCTATCATTGTGCCATTCCTAGTCACTGATGTCACTCAGTGATTTGTCCCGTTTATTGACCTCTCATGAGTTAGTTTCAGAGATGCGGAGTGGTTTGTCTGAAGCCATACAGCTACCGTGGAACAGAATGGGATTCAAATTAGACTGTCTGACTCCATAGGCCACTTTCTTTCAGTTATATCATGTTTTAAATTTTTCTGTGTGTTTCATTAAACGAAGAATGATCTGCACTGAATTTTCTGTTTTGTCCACCAGCTCACTATTTATGTCCAGCCAGCACAAAAAGAGACGGCCGAATATGCTGCAAACATAACTAAAACCGTGTTTGATTTTTTTGAAGACTACTTTGCTATGAACTATTCTCTTCCTAAACTAGGTGAGACTAGTTTTTAGTTCCTGAATATTGTCTTTGTTCTCACCTAAGTGAACTTGTTGCATTTGATTATATCACTATTAGTTACTGGTCATCCCTAAGTTCTTTTATTATGCAATGGGTTTAAAGTTTGCTTTATGTTGAGCCATTCTGGATTTCTCCAAAACTAATGGGTGCACTTTAGTCTTATATGATCAATATATGGTCTTTTATTTACAAAGATGAAAGTGTGCACACACGCAGGTCTTGCTTATGGTGGAGCTGGAAATGGCTACCTAGGGCAGCTGATTTAAAAAATCAGTACTCAAGCCAGGCAAAGTGGTGCAAGCCTTTAATCCCAGCACTTGGGAGTCAGGCAGGTGGATCTCTGTGAGTTCGAGGCCAGCCTGATCTACATAGTGAGTTCCAGGCCAGCTGGGGCTACTGGGAGACCCTGTCTCAAAAAGACCAAAAAGAAGAAGAAGAAAAAAAAAAAAAATCAGTGCTCATCCCAATTGTTTACATGCCTGACCATCATAAGGATGCTGGAAAGTTATGAGGACCAATGATGATGTGAAAGTTTTGTGTGCTTCCAATCAGCCCCTTGCTGTGCAAGACGTGGCTCTTGAAATGAAGCATGGACACTCTTCCCAGATACCTTGTCTAACACAGAAACATTTTCTTTCTAACATGTAAGTAGAGATATAGTCAAAATGGTAGAGCTAGACCATTTCTATCAACAGCAGAACTACTTTCTTAACAAACTTGAGGGGTTGACTTGAACAAAACTGTCAGTATAAGACCCAGAGATGCTTGTAAAGAGGATTGCAAGAGAACCAACCAACAGCTTTTTTTTTTTTTTGGTCTTTTTGAGACAGGGTCTCCCTGTAGCCCCAGCTGTCCTGAAACTCACTATGTAGACCAGGCTGGCCTTGAACTCACAGAGATCCACCTGCCTCTGCCTCCCAAGTGCTGGCCTCAAAGGCCTGTGCCACCACACCCCGCAACAGCTTATTTCTTTGTCCAGTTCCTACCTCCTTAATAAACCACCAATGGAAAGCAAGTAGAGTTGTAGTGCTGAATACTTGTACATGCCATTTTTTTCTCTTCAATTCCATCTTTCCTTGCTTGAAAATTATCAGAGGAGACAGAAGAGAAGTTGCTTTCCAGGAGAGTCAGAAGAAGACCAAAGTATCAAGAATTCAAAGATCTCCTTCCCTTCATCTCATTTGTGGAGCTCTCACAAGTTTCTTTCTCTCTTCCTCCTTCACACACTTCTCTGTGTATCTTCAACACTTTCAGGATTAACTATCACAAATTCTTTGGAGATGGTGTTTGCATTTATTTCGAAAGGTAATCGAATTGGTCTTACTAATTATAATGTCTACATTCACAAGAGAAAGAGATTACAAAAAAGAATCGTTTTATTCAGGAATACTGCAAATATACTTCCTGACAATGTGAAAATTATTAGCCCATGGAGGAAATACTTCTTTGACTTTAGGGATATTCTTTTTGTATGCTTTTATTTTTTATTTTTGTGAATATAATATATTTACATCATTTCTATCACCCCTAGTCCCTTCCAACTCCTCCCATGTCCCTCTCCCAACTCTCAAGTTATTTTCTTCTTTGATTACTATTGTTACTTGTGCATACATATATTTATATATGTGTATAAAATGCATGGAGCACTTAGTGGCACTCTTGTGTACCAGTGTTTAGGGATATACATTGGAATTAGATAACCTCTCAGGGAATTTGTCCCTGGAGAAAATTGGTTCTCCCTCCCTTAGCATCTATTGATTGCTTATAGCTCTTCATCTAGAGGTGGGACCCCAGGACATTTTCCCCATCCACACTGGCATGTCAACTGGTTTTGTCATTATACAGATCTTGTTAGACGACCACACTGTGGAGACTTCACTGGTGCAGCTTCCCTGTCATGTCTAGAATGTTCTAACTAGCAGCAGGTGTCTTGTCCTTCTGACTCTTACATTTTTTCTGTCCTCTCTTCATCAATGTTCCCTGAGCTTACATGTAGAGGTTCCATTGTAGATGTGTCATTTAGAGGTGGGCATCTCAGAGTCACTTATTCTCTGTATTTGACTAGTTGTGGAACTTTGCAATAGTCTCCATCTGTTGAAAAGCGGTGAGGTACACTTGTCTGTAAATATAAGGATATGTATTTGGAAGTGACAGAAGTAGGTTCTTCTCTAGGGTCTGTGACCTCTCTCATGTGTGCTTAGCTATGTTTACAGTGCCACACATGAATTCCCTCTGGTGGAGTGGACCTTAAGTCCAATCAGACAGCTGTTGATTACCCCCTAGATAAAAGTGTCACGATTGCACCAGTAGAGAGTTTGCTGGGCCAGCCATTGTTGTGCTTATTAGGCTTTAAAGCTGATTAGGCTTTGCAGATCCTTGATTGGCTTTCTCCCTTAGGTGGTCATCAGGGGGAAGGCTTCCAGGTTAGTTCCAGCTCAATTTCTCAGTGTCTTTAGGGATATTCTTATGACAGAATAACTAAATCCAAGAAAAGGGATAACATGAAAACTGCTCTAACCTTGACTTCTGCTTAAGATATAACCCTTTATTCTTTGTAAAAATCCGTAAGAGCTTTTATTTTTTCCAGAAAGAAAAGTATCTTTCTTACATATTAGATAAAAATTTAACTTATTTGCATTTTGTGTTTCATTCAAATTACAGGTAGTAATTTTAGAAATTGCATTCTGATTATAGTTCATTAACACAGAAAGCTATATTTCCCATTAATCAACTGAACATTTTCTATTTTGGAATTTAATATAGAACTGCTCAACAGATCCTCCTGCTATTGGATGTTATGCCTAAAACCATTGGCCCCAAAGAAAATATAGAACGGAAACTCTTAGAACCTAGTGTGTTAGACCTGGAAGGAGACTTAGTGAGAGAACAGACAATTCCATGTTCTTCTTACTTATTTAATATATATCTCTATGCACGTGGATAGTAAGCTAAATTGGTGGAGAATTAGACTGACCTCAAAATTGTATAGTATCAGAGAGGACAGTTTCTAAAATTCCGCATCCTTGACCAGAGAAGTATTTCTTTGAACTTACAAGCGCGGTCTTTCTTAGTTTCATTTACTGACTTCATTCTCTCCTTCCTTACAATGTTTCCTTACATCCCAAACAGAAGATTTCTATAACCAAGGTGATAAACGTGCAGGGGGAACCTAATAAAAATGAATTGCTGTTCACAGAAGAAAAGACATAAATCATAGAGGCCTTTCAAGAAGCAGTTCTGTAATCTTTCTTTTAAAAGAAAAAAGACACATTGATGTCAGGAGCCCACAGGAAAAGCTCCATGGAAATTTTGAGTGCATCACAACAACAATGTTTATGCAAATGATTGCTGTTTCTCGCTCTGAGAAATTATTTTTAGCTTTTAAAAAACATCCAAAGAACTTAATTTGGTAAGAAATGCTATGAACAAGTAGAAAGAATGCATCTCTTACTGGATTTTTTTTTCCATAGACAAAATCGCTATTCCAGATTTTGGCACCGGTGCCATGGAGAACTGGGGACTCGTCACTTACAGAGAAACAAACCTGCTTTATGATCCAAGCCAATCAGCCTCATCCAACCAACAAAGGGTGGCCAGTGTGATTGCCCATGAACTTGTGCACCAGGTAGAAGATGGCGCATCAAACAGACCTGTCTTTAAAACTGACTTAAAACCATAGAAATAATTCAAAGTATTGATGACTTAGCAAGTAAATAGCCAACTCAGAAAATCATGTGTGAAAACCATTCTTACCATTAGCTAGCATTTAATTGTAAAAACTTAAAATTCCATTGTTTTGCTTTTAGTTGATATATAGAAAACCTTGCTATAATGTTACATATTTCTCAAAATACCTACAAAGAATTTAATATTGTTCCCAAATCAAGTTAAAGCAGAAAATAAATGCTAGGTTCAATGTCTATTGCTGTTGTCAGTTACCAAATTCACACTGACAAGTGAAATTTCTAGGCGTCTCTCTCCCATAAGGATAAACATTTAACTACGTCTTCATTGTTCATCGTTTCAGTGGTTTGGAAATATTGTGACCATGGACTGGTGGGATGACTTGTGGCTAAATGAAGGATTTGCTTCTTTCTTCGAGTTCTTGGGAGTAAATCATGCAGAAAAAGACTGGCAAATGGTGAGTTATGAGCACACACTCACCTAATCTTATCTACTTTCCTCATGCAAAGCAGACTGAAGCCTTTAGGCTGTGACAATGGTACAGAATCAGGACTCAAGTACAGTGGTGATCCTGGAGATTTGCTGAGAGAACAGAGAGGAGTTGGTGACTTCCTCTGATCTATACTTAGCCTTTGCCCAGTCAGCTGTGCAGCTGACCACAGTCTGGGAGGCACAAAAAGACCGGAGGGAAAAAGACAGTGTAGAAAATGCCAACCTTGAATTTAAATAAGTATCTATAGTGTTGGCCCTTCTTATTTTATGTTCCCTAAAAGGTTTCCAGAATAGTGCAGTAGAGATACTTAGCAGTTAGATGCACGTTCAGAGCCTGAGTACATCCGTTCTTGCACAATAGGAAATGTGGCTGAGTCAGTTCTCCCTTAAACATCCAAGAAGAGTATTGCTTTCGCCCGGCATGGTGGCACACAGCTTTGATTCCAGCACTCAGAAGGTAGAGGCGGGAAGACCGCTGTGAATTCCAAACCAGCCAGGACTACAGAGTTTGAGACCCTGTCTCAAACAAAAAGGCTTGTTCTTTATCAAGTAAGCATAGTGCACAAATAAACATATAGTGACCATTAACATACACTGCACTGTGAGGGCGTGAATGAAAATGTCTAGGAAGCTTACAGAATTTTGCTTAGAAAAGCTAGACATTTTTGTATGTAATTTGATCATGAACATATTTGATCATATATGTCTGTGCACACTATGGATCTGTACTTATCTCTGTGTAGATACAGGTAGCTGTTGTGTGGAATATAGACCACTGTCCTGTATTAGAAAAAAAAACAGAAACTTTTTTGACCTTGAGCAAGTTTGATTTACCTTTTCTTAATTTCAAATTATTTTCTTTAAGAGAAGAAAAGAGCATAATAGAAACTACCTCATAAAGTTGTCATAAAAGTGAACAGCACAGTACATGCATGGCGCATAGTACATGTGTGGCTTAGCATACATGCATACTTGATAAACAACAAACAGCATTGCTCAACCTGGAGTTACTTTTATCTTTCTCTGATTTCCAAAATTATTTTTAAATGTCCCCTAAACTTCAATTTTTCCAAAGTTCTCTCCCAGGTATCACAGAAAGTCTACTAAAAGGCAAATTTAAAAATTGAAAGAAAATATCATGCAAACAAGTCTGACTTCCTAGAAGCTCAAACGCTGTAATTATTTCTGCTCTGTCTTTCATTCTTCCCGCCCCTACCCCCTCCTCTCCAATTCTTCTACCTCCCAACCACATTCTCCTCCCAAGTACAAGTGCTCTTTTCAAACCCACTGAGTTCACTTAGTGTTGCCTGTCTGTGCTTGTTTGTGGGACTGTCTAGCAGAGCCTGTGTAACCTCTCAGAGGTTACATCCCTGACGAAGATTGACTCTCCCATCACCAGCAGCCCCTCAGCTATGACTGGACTCCATCAGCTTTCCCCCCTGCCCCCATCCATCCTGGAATTTTCCTTGGTTTCATCTTGTGCAGGTCTTGAACAGATGATGATGTAGATTAAATTTTTAAAGAAGGAACTATTGGAAATTAGCTTTTCTACCTTCCGGAGTAGGTTAGCAAAAAGATAAGGGCTGCAAGCATATCCAATCTGAAAAACCTTTTTTTTTTTTTTTTTTTTTTT